AGCGATCTAATGACTATATATACAACAACGAGATCTCTTTTGCTGCTTCCTAAGCCGCTTCCATAATCGAAGAACTGTCACCTTCCTCCCCGTGGTGTGGCAGAGGGCAACTGCTGAACTGCCGCGAGTGGATTCACCTGAACAGAGAAGGCAAGCTGCCAAGCATCAATCAGAGCTCTTCTAATGGATGAGCCTTGTTGGATTATAAATCTGAAAAGCATCATAAAAGAAATTCCTCCATTAGTCATATCATAGAAGAATGATGCATCTAAAGATTTAATTTAAACATGACATTTGCCATTGTGTCATTTGTTTTGTGTGCATTTTCAGAATCTACCACGTATTGGCGATCACATTTCAGGGGGATCAAGATTTGGGGGTGCATGAGGACAAGCAGACATAAACAAACTTCTATAGCACTCAAGAAATGTCTTGGTTACATCAGAAGATTCAGAACATATGATTGTGGTTCCTTCTGTGATTTTCACTTTATTGCCGCAAAAAGGTAGGAACTAGCAAAAGGATAACATATTACCGTTTCCATACTGCGTGTTTCTTTCGAAGAATATAAAGAACAAAAAGGATAAACGAGCCCAACATCATAGTCTTTCTGCGAGGAAGGACCGATAGGAAATTTCCAACCTTCGACCCGAATGTTTTATCTGAGATACGCTCAGTGGATGGCTTAATAGATCTCAAGGAGGAAGGTTTTGCTGCATGTCCATTAGGAAAGTCTGGTAGTTCAGCGTCCCCAGAAGCTTTTTCCACCGTGTGTGCAGCTGAACAAGTACCTGAAATAGATAAGCCGCCGCTTCTATCTGTTGATGAGCTGGAATGTGCCGAGAGATGCAACGAATGTAGCTTTCTCAGCATATCCTAAAGAAATCAGAAGAAAGGAAATAACATTATAGTGCCGCTCATTCAGAATGTAGGTAATTCATCATGAAAGGAACTCATGAGACTGAAGATACAGTCATATGAATATCAATAATGTTGTACTCTTTTTCCATAATACATATAATACAAGATTCAGACCACTAAGCTAAAAAGATGTTCAAATCACACAGTTATATGACCTAATGTTATAATGACACCAGTCCAAGAGACCTTTCACGTATAGTAAACTTTTGCGCTAAGAAGAACAGTCAAATGAAGAATGAACTAAGTTTTAAGGACACTAGTGCTTAGAGACCTTCCAACTTGCAATGGCAGTAAGATTCTACATCTCATAATTTGCTTTGTTTATCAACTCATAAGCCATGTGGACAAATGCTTATGCAGAGATTTCTAAAGTGGGCGTATGATTTTTGTGTTTTCTTTAATGAGCATATATGCTGGCTAGCCCCTACTAGTTTTGGTTGACAATGTACCACAATTCAAAGCTGAGAAAACTTCATAAAAAACTGACCCAGTTTTTCAACCGAGGTTGGACATTACCTCCGAGTTGGAGCCATGGTCCTAGCCAAAATGTTATAAGCAAGAGTGAATATCATGTTACAACCTTTATTAGCAGTTAGAAGCTAGGCAGACTACATTTTGTAGTAATGCAATTTAGGCGCATACAAGAAACACACATATAACTACCTGGATCGTGAAAGAGTCTATATGAAGAGGCATAATCATGAGTCTTTGCATCCACACAATAATTCCTTAGGTATAGAGTCAGCCAAAGAATAAGTGACCTGTGCACTAAGGAACAAATTTCATACTGGTATTTGATGTTTTCATCATAGAGGTAAGAACTAAGAAGCTTTTGGTGCGTGATTCATATGCTCCAAGAGGAATGAGATAATATCATCTAGCTTAAAAATTCATGGGACAGTAAAGCTGTTATACATTGGTCGTGGTTTGATAATTACATGTTGCAAGTCAAGTTCCCTACTCAATACGCGGGGGGAGGGGGGGGATGCACCTAAAGATTACTTCATTTGATTTTTCGCAAGCAATGTTAAGAATTGGCACCGGACCATGATGCATATTTGATATCCGACCCACAACAGAATTTATGGAGGACTCAATATTGAGGTAAACTAGTCTGGTTGTTTTTGAAAGTATGACTTAAGGTTCGTCTGGTATCATATTGATTTTGTTTTTCTAGAGGTCCTTAAAAGTATGATCTGAGTTTATTACAAAAGGACTTGCAGTTAAGGTGCATGGACTTAAGTGCTTGTTAAAATTCATTTGAGTTTCGATTTGGCTCAGTGAAACTAACTTACAAGACAATTATTCTCAGTGAAACTAACTTACAAGACAATTCTTCTCAGTCAAAGTTACTTACAAGACAACGAGATATAGTACCTGACGTTTTTCTTCAGGTAAGCCAGCTCTCTCTGTCCAAGAAACAGCAACATCAGGTTTATGTAGAACCCTCCCGAGGATGGTTATGGCATAAATATCTGCCACCTCCAAGTACTTTTCAAGAGGGATTGAAGCTTGCCACCTGCATCCTTCAAATTGAGCGTCCTGCAATTCTGATTTTGGCAAAACATCCACTTCATCTTTCAAATAAACCCATTTTTCAAGGAACTCCTCCAATGTTGTTGATAGGTTGGATGAATATCCCTCTGATATTTGCATGCAGACCCTGCCAAGAACAAATATATCATATGCTTTCCTTGTTCACAACTCAGCACAAACTAAATTACAAGAATGCACAAAACAGTTTCTAAGCATTAATTAATTTTTAAAAGCAAAAGATCCAAACATGAATTACATCTCAAATAAAAGTAGATTGACCATACCCCGTTAGGAAGACTAAAACTGGTATTGCCTCCAGTGTACCAAATAACTCTTTAAGCTCGCCAAATAGTTCACTCGTCCTGCATTTTTTTCGAAGGATTGAATATTTACTATATGAAGTTTCAAGAATCAGCAAAGATCAAAACCTACTAATAAAGCTAATCCCTCTTTTTTTAAATCAAAAAGGTCATAACCCACGAATAATAAAGCTACACAACAACATGAACCACAAGGAAACGACAGCAAGGTAACATTAAAAAAGTTAACGCTATTCATATGATGAAAACCGTTTAAAATTGTTTACAACAGAGAAACATACAAAATCAGAAACCATATCAACACAATGAGGCATTTCCACCAAATGCAAGTTCGTTATACAAATTCATCATTCTTGTTGACTTAGATGAAGTCTCTTGACACCAGAAAAGCGAGCGAGCAATAAAAGTTGCTTCTTTGCTTTTTTCATATTCGTCACTTGCCATTTGTTATACTTACCTTCATTCTTCTCCTTAAGGAGGGTGAGCGCTCACAAGAGAATGTAATTCCTAATCGCTTTGTCCCAAAAATTTATACCTCCATCGAATTATTAAAAAGTTTGCCATGAAGGCCACTCTTGTATGTTTCAAAGAATAACAATGACAATTTTCTACCCAGCCTACATGATAAAGCTCTAAACTGGGAAGCTTATGCTATTTCACTTAACAGTTTTCTACATAGCCTATATGATCAGGCTCCAAACTACGAAGCTTATGCTATTTTGCATGAAACTTTCACCATCTGACATTACGTTTATGATTTCCCACTTTGGGACTGAACTGAAGTTTACACTTCACTGTAAAAGCTTTTGACACCCCCTTCCATACATGTTTTCGCTCGAGACCTTCCTTCAAGTGATATGAGGGTCTTTATCAATTAGGCAATTTTAAGACATCACAGCACTTACACTGACAAGTTCACCTTCATAATATATTATAACGTCCGCAGAGCAGGAAAGGAAAATTGGGAGAACAAAGGAAGTAATGGCATACTATATGGAGAGAATCTTTTTCACCTTCCCAGTTCTTTCAATGACTGAACAAACACCATGCCAGCTGATTCCATCATTTCAACAAGTTGAGCATCATCTGCTGCGTTCGCTAAGCTGGCATTGTGCACCCGTTTGACAGTGGACGCAGCCAGCGATGCTGCTTCCCCGAACATGCAACAGACCATATAACTGGGCTCCCCCGAACAAAAACATACAATGCACGATTAGATGATGTATATAGATACTACAGTACAGGCTATGAAGACATGAAATCTAAGAACACAGTCCAGCTATCAGGGCATCGAAAACTTATATACTCCAGCAAGGCGTGATTACAAATAGCCAACTTACCAACATCATGAACATCATTATAAAAAAATAAAAATACGAAATC